GTGATGCAGTGGTTAGAGTGCAGTACTGCAAGCTACTTCTGCTGCAGCCAGCTGCCTGCAATTCGGCAGATTGAATCTCACCAGGCTCAAAATTGACTCAGCCTTCCATCCTTCCAAGGTGGGTAAAATGAGGACCCCAGATTGTTGGGGGGGGCAAATAGGCTGACTCTGTAAACTGCTTAGAGAGGGCTGTAAAGCACTATGAAGAGGTATAAAAGTGCTATTGCTATTATTATTATTTGCGATTGGTCGGAACAAAAATGGTACTTTACACGTTCTGTAAGAGAACACTTCAGAATGTGGAGGTGCAGATGATTTGGCATAGTTTTGTGCTTTGAGAGACCAGTGACTTGCCCTTCCTGATGTGAAATGGCATTCAGAGCAAGCTAGAACTTCAGATGAATACTCACACCTTTTGAGGGAGGAGTTCCAAAGTTGCGCTTGGGACTTGATTTAGACCTACAGGTAGTCCTTGACTTATGACTACAATTGAGCCCCAAATTTCTGTTTTTAAGTGAGACATTTTTTCAGTGAGTTTTTCCCCATTTTACGACCTTTCTTAGTGCAGTTGTTAAGTGAATAACTGCAGTGGATATGTTAGTAACTCAGTTGTTCATGAATCTGGCTTCCCAGTTAACTTTGCTTGTGAGAAAGTTGCAAAAGTCAGCAATGGTCATAAATATGAACCAGTTGCCAAGCATCTGAATTCTGATCATGTGACCATTGTGGGGGTGCTGCAAAGGTTGTTAAGTGCGAAAAATGGTCATAAGTCACATTTTTCAGTGCTGTTGTAACTTTGAACGAACACTAAATGAACTGTTGTAAGTCGAGGACTACCTGTATGGAGCCTATAGTATATACCTCCTCAATATGGAGCTTATCTATGACCTCCAAAAAGGAGAATTTAAAATTATCCAAAGGTGGACTTCCGGTTTGTCGGCTTCGCGAGCGGAAGGGATTCGCGAAGCTGCGCGATCCCTGCTGCGCTAGCCGTTTTTGGGGCTCCGATCCGGACGGGTGCGGAGCTAGGCTGCCCTGCAGGGGCAGCTGAAGGTAGGGGGGATCCGGAGAAGGGTTTGGGGGTGTTGCAGACCCCCTCCCCGGCCGGCAGAACCCCCTTTTCCCAGGATGGTGCAGCGGCGGTCCGTAATGGCCGCCACAAAGAAGCTGGCAGCCGGGTAAGAATGCGCAGGAGGAAGTGGAGAAAGTTTTTGAAAGGAGAAAGTTTTTCTTGGTTCCTAGGACTCTAAGACGCATTTAACAAAATTCCTGAAAAGTATGACTTTCTGAATGATACCTTCTAGAAGAGGAAAAAAGCGGCAGTTTGATGGTGCTGAAAGGAAAGCTTACCCTCTTTTCCTACGGAATAAATAAGTGAATATTAAGAAACCTATTTTTTTAGGTGAAAACTGGCTTTAAGCGATGAGTGGGAAGAGAGAGGACTAAAAAAAAAAATATTTGTATGCTAAGATTGTTGGAGGAGATGCCTTAAGGATTTGAAGACTAAAATATATTGCAATAAGACTTTAAGAAACAGATTTGGACTTTCTTTGTCTCTGATTGATACTACCCCAGAAGGAGAAAGTGAGAACTCTGCCTTGGTTTGGACTGATTGATAACTTTGGGACTGTTTTATTTTTTCTTTGGAATATTCTGGTTGTTGTAAGAAGAAAGAAGGGGAAAAGAAAAGAAAAGATTTATAATGGCTCCTTCTATTGAGGAACAGAAAAGATTATGAACAAGCAAAAAAAATGGTAAAGCTGGTTTGAAAGAAGCCTTCCTTTTTTTAGAAATGGCGCTTATTAAATATCAACAAACATTACAACAGATGAAAACAGCAGAAGAAGAAGAAGGAAAGGAAGCCATTTTTAATAAATCTCAGAAATCGACCAAGAAAGAAGTAAGAGGGAAAGGAAGAGAAACTAAGGACTTAAGATTTAAAAAAACACTTAAGAAAGGGAAAAATAAGGTGCAAAATCAATATAATGATAGTAAACAAAAGGGAAAAGGAGCATGACAGAGAAGGGAAGCCAGTAAGGCAGAGGCTAGAAGAAGGGGGGGTAGAAAGGTTTGTTGGGAGAAGAAAGGAAGGGAAAAGGTGGAGAAAAGCTACAAAGTTTTGAAATTAAATGGGAAAAAAGGAATCTTTTTTAGGGATAAAGGATAAAGTATAATTTCTTCAAAAGATTTTGCAAGGTACATAAGATGATATTGTAGTATTGTATTAGAAATAGAAAACTTAAATGGTTTAAGAGTTGATAAGAGATTAAAATGGTGAAATGTTTAATAATGATTGGTTTTAGAATTTAATAATATGAGGGGAGGTTCAGAATATTGAGTTTTTAATTAAAGAGTTTAATAAGATTATGGCATTGATGTTATTATAAAATTTCTATTATAGTATTTATTTTTAATATTCAGATCTATTGTTTAACTATGTATTTAATTATTCTGGATGTACTATTTAGATAGAATGTACCAAGCAAAATCGGATTGGGTATTGGGTGTTATTTTAAAGGTTTATTTGATTAATTTAGGGGGGAGATAGAAAGGCATCATACTCTGATTAGTGATTTCAGGAGAAACTTCTTCTTTTTTTTTTAAAGGAATGAGACAAAGGGACAATAAAGAATGGACAAAAGATACAAATATAATGACTCAAATTAAGATGATTAATTAAGATAGAATTAAGAAGAGTGAAATATGTGGAGAAGTTAATATAGAAGACTTAAAATGGTAAATAAAATAAGTAATGATAGGTAAGATGAGCATGAATATAATTGAAGTCCATGAAGAGAGAGATACCTGGGTCCAAGTTGCTTTCCAAAAAGATCTTTTTTATGTTTTGTGTGTTGTGTGTATATGTTTTTTTTTTTTGGGAGAATTAATAAAACCTTGCAGAAATATAGAATGAGAATAATGGTAACTAAGTCAGAAAGAAAAAGATGAAATAATAATAATGAAATGGAATAAGAGTAAAGAGAAGTAAAGAGAAATTGGATAAGAGGTTTTTGTATGTTTATATGGAAATGGTTTAAAATAGAATTATAGTTTATCTGACTTGTTAAATTTATAATGGAAAAAGGTTTAAACATGTAATGGATAATGATGATTTGTGTGTTTTGAAAAAATTAATAAAACTTGTTTAAAAAAAAAAAAGATTATCCAAAGGTATAATTATCTTTACAGGAAATGAGATGTGGATTATGCTGCCCGTGTTTAACTACTGCATAAATAAATATTGTCCTAGCTATCAAGCCTAATCTAGGTGTTCAGGTGATCATCACTACACACAAGATAATACTTTGAAGAGTCAACAGGGCAATTACCAACCACTTTTTTGCAATGCATAATCAAGAAGATCTTATTGGCGATCCATACGAATGATCGCTAAGGCCCAAATGACCTTCTCTGCTCTTGAGTCACAATGGCCTAGTCAAGATATTGTTCAGCAAAATACTTCCGGTCACATTAGACCTCAAAATAAGGCCAAAGGGTGGCATGGAGAGCAGTGGTGGGATTCAAAAATTCTTACTACCAATTCTGTGGGCGTGGCTTGATGGGCATGGTAGGGGAAGGACACTGTAAAATCTCCAATCAGACGTTCTCCTAACTACTCAAAATGTCCGCTATCGGTTCTCCAGAACTGATCAGAACCTGCTGAATACCACCTCTGGATGGAGAGGTGAAAAGTAACATTGAACAAGTGCCAGTGGAGTGGGGAAGGAATTTCATTTGGCAATCTGACTGGCATTTGCCCACAGCACTTCATCCAGAGATGGTGGGAAGAGGCGAAAGCAATGATCTGGGGATTTTTGTGTCTTCTACTTCCCCCGTCCTCCATTTTGTGGGAGGGGCTATATATTCCAAGTTGCTTATCTTGGTACATCAGGATTATATTGTCCAAGATTGCTCCTCCATTCCCAAATAGAATGGAAATAGAACCCATCTACCTGCTCCTCTCATTATTAGATGTTCTTCTAAGGCATTGGCTCCCAACCTTTTTGAGCATCAGGGACTGGTTCCATGGAGAGAGTTTTTGCCATGGACTGAAGAGGGCATGGTGGTTTTGCATGCTGCCTCCATCCCGCAGATGGGACTTCACTTGTTTGCATGGCCCAGTTCATGGTCCAGTTTGGAGCCGGTTCATGGACCGGAGGCTGGGGACCCCTGTTCCAAGGGGGTCTCAAAATTGTGCAAGCACCATTTTTTTGAATGCTGGCTGACTGGTTGGCTGGCTGGTTGGCTGGCTAGTTGGCTTATCTCTCCCTCCTTTCTATTGAATTATTGTCCTTAAATATTTCCCAAAGCTCTTTGTGTCATTTTAAATCCCCAAATCTTCTAATTACACACATACATACAAAAAAACCCTACAAACCCAGAAAATGGTCTTGATCAGTAATCTTGTTAAATGCGTTCGGTGAATGCAACCCATGAGTAGATATTTTAGATCACATATACCTGGGGGCATCAAAATCGATTTCATTGAGGGCCGCATCGAGGGGGAGGGGTGGGTATGGCCAGGGTGGGTGTGGCCAGCTCAATGTCACTCATGTTGGGGGCACCTGTGTTGGCCCAAGTGTTCTGCCAGTGAAAACGTGCTCCCAAGCTCCATTTCCAGCTGTGACAGCCTCCTGCCAGCAAAAATGGAGCTTAGGAGAGCGGCACATGGCCCTCTCAAGCTCCGTTTTTGCTGTTTCCAGGGTGGGATCCGGACTGCGGGCCTTGAATTTGACACCCCCGACATATACCAACTTGGACCTGCGGATTTTACTTGCCCTCCATATATTAGACCTACCTTCCAGTTCCCTCAATTATGTGAGCTTGAATTAACCATATCTCACTAAGTGCACGTGGGTGGTGTGGCAAAAATTAAAGTGTTTGAACCTTAATGGTTTTAATACCTAGCAGCTGACCTTGCAGGCTTGCTTATTAGTCTAACAACGTGAGTGATTTTGGACGTTCATTTAAAAGGAATCGTGGGCTGACTGAAAGAACTGGAAAAGTTTGTGAGGCCAGAGAGAGAAGGTTCGGCATATCTACATGTAACGTTTGACAAGTCCTGACAAAGAAAAAAGAGGAAAAAGGAGAATGTTTATAACAGAGCTCTTGTTGGTTGCTATTCTCCTGAGCCTTTTGATGCTCTACCTTCTAAGACAATTCTGGTTTCGCAGTCATTATCCTTCGGGATGGCTTCCATTGCCTGCCACCGGAAGCTTATGGAAAGCTGGCATCAGGCTTTATCAAGAGACTCTGTCTAAGGTAACCCTTCTGAATTAATTGCTAAATTAAATCTGTTGCCTTCGGTGAGTTAAGGGATTTGGGGAGAGAACCATGAATCATTTTCCATCGAAAGGTAATGTTGGTTAAAATGATCTGGGCCATCCTTGGGCCATCCTTGGGCCATCCTTGGGCCATCCTTGGGCCATCCTTGGACCATCCTTGGACCATCCTTGGACCATCCTTGGGCATACTGATGTGAACTCTAGGAAGGAATTCCATAAAGACTTCTTGGAGCTCAATCTTCAAGAAGAAAGAGAGATGGACAGAGACGCCATCAGACTTGATTTCAGAATTGTTCTTTCAGTTGTACTGGCAAAGCCAGGTGTAGGCATAGGCTAAACAAGCTACATTTAGAGCAGGAGTGTCAAACTCACGGCGTCAGAGCGGTGTCACGTGATGTATTGGGACCTTCACTAAAACTGGGCATGGCGTGGGCGGCGCATGACGCATCTAGCCCATAGGCTGGGAATTTGACACCCCTGGTTTAGAGCATCTTAGAAGAGTCTCAGAATTTAGATCTCCCTATTTGTTACAGATTTCTTCTAATTTCACATATGGAAGACTTCAGAAATGAAGGCCTCCCGTATCACTCATTTCACCCTTCTTAATTACAATATCCATTTGCACCTCCTGTTTAAGAAGGGTTTTTCCTTCCACTCAGTGGTGGGATTCAAATATTTTTACGGTTCAGTGGGCATGGCTTGGTGGGCGTGCTTTGTGCGTGTGCACACACTTTGCGTGTGTGTGTGTGTGTGCCAAATGCTCACTTTGCACAGGTGCAGAGGCGTTCTAACTCCCCTCCTGCAAGCCTGCACGATCCCGGTCACTTCAGCAGCCGCCGCGTGGCACTCTTCTGTGCCGTGCAAAGCAGCTGCGCTTGAAATTCAGAAGGTAAGCATGAGCCCAGGTGGGCAGGTGGGCCCAACAACAGAGCGGCGGTCTTACTGCTTCACCCAGGAGGTTTCCCTGACACCCAGGAGGCAAAAAGGGGGTGTGGGAGAAGGAGCAGGTGGGGGGCTCTGCCCCCCCATACTCAATTTTTTTGCCTTCCTGGGAGCAAAAATGCCCTCCACCCGGAAGCTTCCCTGAGGACCAGGAGGCAAAAAAAAAATGGGGAGGGGGGTGCTGCAAAAAAAGCCATGCCCACCCAGTCACATGGCTATGCACACCTAGCCATGCCCACAGAACCATAATACAACAGCCAGCCCAGATTTGTATCTTTTTGTGTGTTTGCAACATCTCGTTATGTAATATGCACTAGAATAATGCTGCATCATAATATTAAATCTACCCATGTCTTCCCAAAGGTGCTTTTTCAAGAGGCAACTTGACTTTTTGTTATTTATTTATTTATTTATTTATTTATTTATTTATTTATTTTATTTTATTTTATTTTATTTTATTTTATTTTATTTTATTTTATTGTATTTGTCAATTGCTTACAAGATAATAGGTATAAGTAAAAACAGTTATGAGTACATGGATACACATAAGAAAAATAAAAAAATAGAAAAGAAACAATAGGACAGGGACGGTAGGCACGTTGGTGCGCTTATGCACACCCCCTACAGACCTCTTAGGAAAGGGGTGAGGTCAATAGTAGATAGTCTAAGTTTAAAGTTTTTGGGGTTTGGGGAAAAAAACCACAGAGTCAAGTAGAGTATTCCAGACATTGACCACTCTGTTGCTGAAGTCACGTTTCCTGCAATCAAGTTTGGTGCAGTTAACCTTGAGTTTGTATCTATTGTTTGCTCTTGTTTGTTATGGTTGAAGCTGAAGTATTCATTGACTGGTAGGACATTGCAATGTATGATTATATATACTATACTTAGATCGGAACGAAGGCGGCGTAATTCTAGGTTTTCTATGTCTAGAATTTCAAGTCTGGTGGCATAAGGTATTCTGCAACGAGTAGAGGAGTGGAGAACTCTTCTTGTGAAATATTTCTGGACTTTCTCAATTGTGTTAATATCAGATACGTAATGTGGGTTCCAGACTGATGAGCTGTATTCAAGTATTGGTCTAGCAAATGTTTTGTATGCTCTAGTTATTAGTGCAATATTACCAGAGAAAAAGCTACGTAAGATTAGGTTAAAAACTCTTAACACCTTTTTGGCTATGTAGTTACAGTGGGCTCTAGCACTTAGATCATTAGAGATGAGTACTCTAAGATCCTTGAAAGAGCTTGGATCGTCTTGACTATTCAGCTTGTATTTTATTTTCTGATTTTTTTTGCCAATTTGTAGGACAGAGCATTTATTTGCTGAGATTTGAAGTTGCCATTTGTTTGACCATTCTGATACATAGTCAAGGTTTTTTTGAAGGGTAGCAGTATTGTCTGTGGTGTTGAATAGCTTTACATCATCAGCAAAGAGAATGCAGTTGCTCTTAATATGATCACGGAGGTCATTTATGTAGAGTATGAAAATAGTTGGTCCTAGAACACTGCCTTGGGGGACACCACTGTTAGGAATAACATGGTTATCTAACGTAGTTTGGGTAAAATAATATATATAAACTATGATAGTGAGTTTATGTGTGTGTCACTTTAACTGCAAAACATGTAATTTTGGGTGCGGATGTAAATCGCCATGAGAGGGAGCAAGAGAACTTGATTGATTTGCTAGCTTACTGAATTGCTTGCTGACGATGATGGATTGTTAACTGCGTGTTATTTGCTGTTGCTGAAGGAAGAAAAGAGGTTTTACTTCTTCTTATCTCTACTGCGAAGAGATAAATTACTGGACTGATATTTGTAAGTTTAATGACCTCTTTTTCGACACTGGACTTTGCAACTGATTAATCCCCAGACGGACTGAACTAAGTGAATGATATATGGACTGTTTGACTATGCTATAAATCTTACTGGAATAAACTATTTAACTAGCACTGTGTATCTGTTTTTACTGAATGTAAACTACAACAACGTTTATCTCACATATTTGCCTGCCTGCCTGACTGCTGTGCAGGTTCTGCTAGGGTGTATATCCCTAACAACCACTGTTGACAGGTACAGAATTTGATATTTTGATAATGAAACGTCTGCAAAAAAATAACCAAGCTCAACTTCAATCCTGAGCTACAAGTATTCTCCTTTATTGGTATTGGGAATATTTTAATTTGGTTCTTTCCAAAGTCAGGGGATGCTAACTCTTATGGTTGGCTAAAATGTTGTGCTGCTGTGAATAGGAACTCGGTCTTGAGTTGTTCCAAGAACTGACCTTGTCAAGTTGTGGAAGTATATTTAAGAATAAAACTTTCTTTTTATCTTGATCCAAACAGCAGATGAAAGAACAAAGTGGCACCTCTAAGACCTCTGTGACTCCCTACAGTAGCATATTCAATGATGATGGTAAGTGTTTATAAAATATAGAAGTATTTGTTCTGGACTTCTCTTTGGAAACATTAGATCAGTGTTTCTCAGTCTTCAGCATCTGGATAATGTGTAAACTTCAACTCCCAGAGTTCCACAGCCAGCATGATGCTGCTCGAGAAATTCTGGGAGTTGAAATCCACTCATCTCGCAGTGGCCAAGGCTGAGAAACGCTGCTGGTTGGGGAATTAATAGATAACAGATAATCAGAGTTGGAAGGGACCTTGTAGGTCATCTAGTCCAACCCCTGCCCAAGCAGGAGACCTTACACCATTTCTGACAAATGGCAGTCCAATCTCTTCTTGAAAGTCTCCAGTGATGATGCTTGACAACTTCCAAAGGCAACTTCTGTTCCATTGGTTGATTGTTCTCACTGTCAGAAAGTTTCTCCTTATTTCCAGGTTAAATCTCTCCTTGTTCAGTTTCCACCCATTGTTCCTTGTCTGGCCTTCAGGGACCTTGGAAAATAGCTTGATGTCAGCTTTGAAATTCATCTGCCACATATATTTTTTTTAGAGAGTTAGAGGAGTTGAAAAGTTCAAGGTTATTCTGTGTCATATTAAGAATTTGCAGTTGCAGTTAATTGGTTCTCGTGATTTATGAAGTATAGAAGTGGGAGGAGAGAAGGTGGATTCTGTGTAACACACGAAAAAGCTTTCACTTGGGAAATTGCTTTTGAACGTGCCAGATCTGTTCCTAATAAATCAATTGGAGAGATAACGTCTCAGAGTGATTGATATCATGAATACTGTCTGGATACTTGACACTTGACCCCTTCCTCTCTGTGGCAGCCCCTCAAGTATTGGAAGACTGCTATCATGTCTCCCCTGGTCCTTCTCTTTGCTGGACTAGCCATGCCCAGTTCCTGTAACCGTTCTTCATATGCCTTAGTCTCTAGTCTCCTAAACATCCTGGTTGCTCTTCTCTGTACTTTTTCTTGAGTCTCAACATCTTTTTTATAATGTGGTGAACAAAACTGGATGCAGTACTCTAGGTATGGTCTTACTAAAGCTTTATAGAGTGGTATTAGTACCTCACTTGATCTCGATTGTATCCCTCTGTTAATGCAACTTAGGATCGCATTAGCTTTTTTGGCGGTGGCTGCACACTGCTGGCTCATATTTAGCTGGTTGTCCACTAAGATTCCACAATCCCTCTCACAGTTACTGCTATTGAGCCTGGTTTCACCCAGTCTATATGTGTACTTTTGGTTTTTCTTGCCTAAGTGTAGGACTTTACTTTTCTCTACATTGAATTTCATTTTGTTAGATATGGCCCAGTGTTCTAGTGTGTCAAGATCCATCTGGATCTTGAGCCTATCTTCTTGGGTGTTAGCTATTCCTGCCAGTTTAGTATCATCTGCAAATTTGGTAAGTTCCCCTTCTATTTCCTCATCTAAGTCATTAATGAAGATATTGAAGAATACTGGAAGATGGAACCTTGTGGCACCCCACTGCTTACTTCCCTCCATGTAGACTTAGACCCATTTAGGACTACTCATTGAGTATGGTTTGCCAGCCAGTTGTAAGTCCATCTAGTGGTGGTGCTATCTATTCTACTTTTTTCTAGCTTACTAAGAAGTAGGTTGTGGTCTACTTTGTTGAATGCCTTGTCGAATTCTGGGAGTTGAAATCCACCCAACTCGCAATGGCTGGGGCTGAGAAACACTGCTGGTTAGGGAATTCTGGGAGTTGAAATCTACCCATCTTCAAGTTGCTAAGCTAAGAAACACTGAACTAGAGCCAATAGGAATACAAATAAACCTCTGAATTAGACCTTCCCTCAGACATCAATTCTTTTTGTAACTTTCAGGTGCTTTAAATTAATAAGGAAAAGAAAGGCATATTGAACATGGTTTGTGTGTTGTCAGCTTCCGACTCTCTCTGTTACAGTAAAATAAGGCATTAACATCAAATTACAGTTTTTTGCTTTTTCATAATAATATGAACAGGCCATTTTTTATAAAGATCTATCAGTCTAATTGGTAAAACCCAAAGTCGGAGTTTCATTCTTCTCCACATCAAGCACAAAGTCAATGCTTCTTTTTCCTTTTCTTTCTTATCTTTCCTCACTTCTCTTTCCCCTCCCTCTTTGCCACTTTTCTATTTACTTTGTATTTTGTATTTTATCATACTTTATAACTCAATAAAAACGTTAACGGAAAGTTTGTGTGTTGACAGCCAGTCTGTACTAGGGACTCTACCACTGAGTTCTATAATGAAGAACCTTATTTTTCAGACACTCTATATTTCCATCTCTTTTCCTTGGAGTACTGACTGGGCTGAACAGCTCCACTGCATACTTATTTATTTATTTATTTATTTGATTTGCCAATTGTTTACAAGATAATAAGTATAAATGTGTACATAGTTGTGAATACATGAAATGGGTACATATAAGAAAAATAAAAGAATAAGAGAAACAATAGGACAGGGACGGTAGGCACGTTGGTGCGCTTATGCACGCCCCCTACAGGCCTCTTAGGAAAGGGGTGAGGTCAATAGTAGATAGTCTAAGGTTAAAGTTTTTGGGGTTAGGGGAAGAAACTACAGAGTCGGGTAGAGTATTCCAGACATTGACCACTCTATTGCTGAAGTCGTATTTCCTGCAATCAAGTTTGGTGCGGTTTACTTTGAGTTTGTATCTATTGTGTGCTCTTGTGTTGTTATGGTTGAAGCTGAAGTATTCATTGACAGGTAGGACATTGCAATGTATGATTTTATATACCATGCTTAAGTCAGACCGAAGACGGCGTAATTCAAGGTTTTCAAGTTCTAGAATTTCAAGTCTGGTGGCATAAGGTATTCTACAACGAGTAGAGGAGTGGAGAACTCTTCTTGTGAAATATTTCTGGACTTTCTCAATTGTGCTAATATCAGATACATAGTGTGGGTTCCAGACTGATGAACTGTATTCGAGTATTGGTCTAGCAAATGTTTTGTATGCTCTGGTTAGTAGTGTGATATTACCAGAGAAAAAGCTACGTAGGATTAGGTTAACAACTCTTAATGCCTTTTTGGCTATGTAGTTGCAGTGGGCTCTAGCACTTAGATCATTAGAGGTGAGTATTCCAAGGTCCTTTACAGAGCTTGAGTCATCAACAAGATCTTGACTATTCAGCTTGTATTTTATTTTCTGATTTTTTTTGCCAATATGTAAGACAGAGCATTTATTTGTTGAGATTTGAAGTTGCCATTTGTTTGACCACTCTGATACATAGTCAAGATCTTTTTGTAGGGTAGCAGTATTGTCTGTGGTATTGAACAGCTTTACATCATCAGCGAAGAGAACGCAATTGCTCTTAATATGATCACAGAGGTCGTTTATGTAGAGTATGAAGAGAGTTGGTCCTAGAACACTGCCTTGTGGAACACCACTATTGACAGGTACTGGATTTGATAGTATGCTCCCGATTTTGACCATTTGTTGTCTGTTTGACAGGAATGCTTCTATCCAGTTATTCAGTTGTCCAGAGATACCATAGGATTTTATTTTTAGGAGTAGTTTGTCGTGTACCACTGAATCAAAGGCTTTACAGAAGTCTATGTAGATTGCGTCTATTGCTTTGCCCTGGTCGAGTTGTGTCGTCCATATGTTTTTGCAGTGTAAGAGTTGCAGATTACAGGATAGTTTTTTTCTGAAACCAAATTGTTTATTGGAGAGTAGATTATTTGTCTCTAAGTGAAGGATGATGGATTGGTTAATAATTGATTCCATGACTTAACAGGTGACGCAGCATAAGGAGATTGGCCTGTAATTTTCAACTAGGCTTGGGTCTCCCTTTTTGAAGATGGGGATGACTGTGGCTTGTGACCATAGGTTAGGCAAGGAGCTGGTTCTGAAAGATTTTTCAAAGATTATGCTTAGAGGTTTGGCTATGGCAGTGGGGAGCTTTTTTAAGAAGTAGGCACATATTCCATCCGGTCCAATAGATAGATAACTGGAGATGGGTCTCACAGGGCTCATTTCTTTTTCTTTTTTTTTAAACAAATTTTATTAGTTTTTAAAGACAAACAAAACATAAAACATAAGAACATAAAACCTCTTTTCTGAAAGTTATTTGTAAATTTTAACAAAGCAAATAAAACATTTTATACACCATTGACACATTTCCTTATAAACACATACATATCCTTTCAAGTTTCTCATTATTTCTCCCTTTACTTTTATTCAATAATATTTCTTTTCTATATTTATCTATTTTATATGTTTTTATTCATTATACTTATATTTTCCTCTGACTTGTTTTATTCTCTTCTATCTTTTATTCTCAATTATCCTTTCTAACATTCCTCCAAGGTTTTGTTAAACACACAAAAACACCAAACATAGAAACATAAAAAACATCTTTTCTGAAAGTTGCTTAGTCCCGGGTTACAACTCTTCGTACAGACATAAATTCAAATTCATATTCATTTTGTATACCATTCCATATCTTGTTACCATTTTCAATTTTCTGTATAGCTTCTCATCTCTTTTAAACTTTCTTAGTTTTATTTTATTTATCTCATCTCAATTCAAATCATAATATTTGTTATTCTTTGTCTGTTCTGTTTCCAGCTATCCATTTATCTTTCTTCTTTAAACAAAACTTTTCCTGTACACTAATTGGAGTATGACGCCTTCATCTCTTTCCCCTCACATGGCTCATTTCTTTTGCTAATGCAAAACACAAAGAAAAAAAATGAATTTAAGATGGAACATTTGTGAGAAAATTTAACTGACAGACTCTTTTGCCCTGGATATGAACTACTTTTGGGGGGGCTGACTAACTATATTGCATTATTTTATCGCTTGATTTATTTTTGCTTTTATGTCTTTTACTTCTTTTAATCTGGTATTTTTTAGGTGGAGAACTATTGAAGCAGCAAAAAGAAATTGGGCAGCTTATTTTGTTAAAGCACGAGAAAGAAAAGAAAGGAAAAGAAAAGAAAGGAGTGGAGAGCCTGGTGGAAGAGGAGGCCCCTCGGCTGGTTGAGACTTTCGCACGTGTAAATGGTAGGTAGCACTTTTGTTGTTGGTAGTTGCAAAGTTGTGTCCGACCCATCGCGACTCCATGGACAATATTCCTCCAGGTCTTCCTGTCCTCTGGAAGATTGCATTGGCTCTTATTTTGCTCTACTCAAGTGTCTATGGAGTCTCTGCATGCTTTGAAATACAATTTGGCACCTTTCAGTAACATTCTAATGTTATGTCTCACCTGTACAAACAAAGTAATAAGTCCAAATTTCCAACTGAAACACAAATAAGCAGGCTAGTCCGGTAATTACAGGGTTAAATTCCTTAATCGGAAAACATTCTTGGCAGTCTCACGCCAGCTGTCTGCCAAGTCCGATAAGGAAGCATAAATCACAAGCTGACGCCACACACAGGAAAATGCAGAAGCTTCTCTCACAAAATAACACATTGTCCCGAACAAGAACCCAGAGCTATCACACCCACTTTTATTCCCTGTGGGGCATGTCAGTCTCTCCTCTCAGTCTCTGATTTGTCCTTTCTTTCTACGTTGCATCTCACGCTTTTGCCTGCGTCTTTGCCTCGCATCAAACCAACATTCCTTAGCCAGAGGCTCTGATACGCCCTCCTGGTTATCTGCCGACACCTGAGGCACAACTAGGGAGGAAGGACTTGCCGAAGAGGAAAGTCTTGGGGAGGAAGGCAATTCCAAATCCTCTAACAAAGCAGGCTCAAACCTCAGAGCCAAATCCTCCTCTTCCTCATTGTCCAAGTCTGTGTCCTCTAACAGAGCAGGCTCAAACTTCTGAGTCACAACATTCTAATATTTATCTCTATCTCTGTGCTCTCTCTGTCTCTCAGTCTCTTTATCTCTATCTGTCTCTCAGTCTCTCTCTCTCTCTCTATCTGTCTCTCAGTCTCTCTCTCTCTCTCTATCTGTCTCTCTCTATCTATCTCTCAGTCTCTACCCCCCTCTCTTTCTCTCAGTCTCTCTCTGTCTGTCTGTTTCTCAGTCTCTCTCTCTCTCTCTCTGTCTGTCAGTCTCTCTCTCTCTCTCTATCTGTATCTCTGTATCTCTATCTCTTTGTCTTTTTGTCTCTCTGTTTCTCTGTCTCTCAGCTCCTCCCTCCCTCCTTCCCTCCATCTAATTGAATCTAATCAAATCTAATAGAATCTAATAGAATCTAATCCAATCGAATCGAATCGAATCAGGTTGGTTCCACCATAAATTCCAAACTTATATAGGTAGTCCTCAATTTAAGACCACAGTCAAGTCCCAAATTTCCATGGCTAGACAGGACAGTTGTTAAGTGAGTTTTGTCCCATTTTATGACCTTTCTTGCCACAGTTGTTTAGTCAATCATTATGGTTGTTAAGTTATTAATACGGTGGTTAAGTGAATCCAGCTTTTTCATGGACTTTCGCTTGTCAGAAAGTCACAAAAGGTGACCACGTGACCTCAGGACATTGTGACCATCATAAATATGAACCCGTTGCCAAGTGCCCCAATTTTGATCTCGTGACCCTGGGGATGCTGCAATGGTCTCAAGTGTGAAAAACAGTCAGAAATCACTTTTTTTCTGTGCTGTTGTAACTTCGAATGGTCACTAAACAAATGGTTGTAATTCAAGGATTACCTATGCAGGTAGTCCTTGACTTGCAATAGTTCACTTAATGACCATTCAAAGTTACAGCAGCATTGAAAAAAATGGCTTATGACCATTTTTCACAGTTATGACATCATCCCATGATCACGGGATCAAACTTCGGATGCTTGGCAACTGGTCCATACTTCAGCGTTCCAGAAAACCTCCACTCCAACAAATAACTCTGAGACAGGCATCTTCTCAAAAGTTCTTTTTTCTTTGGATAGTAAACTGGCACATCTGGGAAATCCCAAATCTGAAAGTTCTGGGCTTCCTTGCAATAAGTAAAAATTACAAATCCATCCCCTTCACCCATCATCGCAACACATGCCCCAATCACCATCCGTCCCAACTGAAGACTTCCCCTCACTTACGTGCAAAATAACATGACCTTGAATTAGAAAAAAAGAATGTTATTATGTCTAATCACATACACTCCAAGAAACTCCCCCCTCCCATTTTTCCCAGGCTCAAGAAAGTGGCAGTGTGGAAGCATCTGGTCTCAATATGGCTTCCAAAGCTGACACTTATGACCACTGATGTGTTCCCATGGTCACGTGATCCCCTTTTATGACCTTCTGACAAGCAAAATCAGTGGGGAAGCTGGATTCACTTCACAATTGCATTACTCACTTATCAACTGCAGTGGTTCACTGAGCAACTGTGGCAAGAAAGGTTGTTAAATGGGGCAAAACTCACTTAGCCAATGTCTCATTAAACAACAGAAACTTTGGGCTCAATTGTGGTCATAATTGGAGTACTACTTGTATTAAGAAGAAAGTGGAAAATATTTCATCAATCATTTCATTTGCAGGGCAACCCTTTGACCCTTTGAATGCCATCATTGCTTCCCTTTGCAAAATGGTTTGGACTGTGAGTTTCAGTGACCGTTCCCCTCTTGAAGAGAAGGACAGCCAACAATTGACAGACGCCATTGAATCTGCTGTAAAATCTGGAGGTAGCTTTGTTTACGCTGTAAGTTATTCTTTGCTTTATGACTGAGACAGGCAATTCTACACAAAACTTTTGGAGAGCCATTGCGATGATCTTAAGGGGAGAAGGTGAAAAGAACTGTAATCTTTTCCCAAGTAGAGTTTGTGATTGGAGTAGACAATCAAGATTCATGTGAGGTACTAATACCACTCTATAAAGCCTTAGTAAGTCCACACCTAGAGTACTGCATCCAGTTTTGGTGACCGCACTATAAAAAAGATGTTGAGACTCTAGACAAAGTACAGAGAAGAGCAACCAGGATGATTAGGGGACTGGAGATTAAATCATATGAAGAATAGTTACAGGAACTGGGCTTGGCTAGTCTAGTAAAGAGTAGGACCGGGGGAGACATGATAGCAGGGTTCCAAAATTTGAGGGGCTGCCACAGAGAGGAGGGGTTCACACTATTTTTCAAAGCATCTGAAGGCCAGACAAAGAGTAATGGATAAAAATTGAACAAGGAGAGATTCAACCTAGAAATAAGAAAAAAAAATTCTGACAGTGAGAACGATCAACCCATGGAACAGAAGTTGTTGCCTTCAGAAGTTGTGGGAGCTTCATCACTGGAAGCTTTCATGAAGCGAATGGACTGCCATCAGTCAGAAATGCTGTAGGATCTGCTTGGGCGGGGGCGGGTAGGAGTTGGACTAGATGACCTACAAGGTCCCTTCCAACTCTGTTAATCTGAGAGGGAGGGAGGGAGAGAAAGACAGAGAGGAAGGGAAAGAGAGAGGAAGGGGGAGAGGGGGAGAGACAAAGAGAGAGAGAGAGAGAGAGAAGTTGTGGGAGCTTCATCACTGGAAACTTTCAAGAAGAGATTGGACTGCCATTTGTCAGAAATGGTGGGGGACTGAACTAGCTGACCTACAAGGTCCCTTCCAACTCTTTTAATCTGTATAATCTGTATATAGACCAGTGGTGGGATTAAAAAAAAATTACTACCAGTTCTGTGGGCGTGGCTTGGTGGGCGTGGCAGGGGAAGAATACTGTAAAATCTCTAGTCAGAGGTGGTATTTGCTGGTTCTCTGAACTACTCAAAATTTCCGCTACCGGTTGTCCAGAACTGGTCAGAACCTGCTGAATACCCACCTCTGATATAGACCGAGACAAGAGAAACCATTCAGTTTAGCTGATGGAGAAACTTTTATTCTACAGTTTTACTTTCTTACAATTCCTACATTAAAACGTACAGTTGCCTGTATTTTCCCCTCCCTTCTTCTTTCGCTCACTCCTATTGCATTACAGGTAGTCTTCGACTTACGACCAGAATTGAGCCCAACATTTCTGTTGCTAAGCGAGATATTGGTTCAGTGAGTTTTGTCCCATCTTATGACCTTTCTTGCCACAATTGTGAAGTGAATCTCTGCAGGTGTTAACACAGCTGTTAAGTAAATCTGGCTTCCCAGTTGACTTTGTAGAAAAGAAGGCATAAAATGTACAACTTTGTTTCTCAGAAGGTCCCATGACCCCAGGACACTGCAACCGTCATATATATGAGTTGTAAGTCGAGGACTACCTATATTTATTGGTGTGTAATCGAATTCATAAAGATAGGCAGATAAAAGATGTGGAGTGACAGAGTTCAGTCTAGACATGGGCCCAGATGTGACGGTAGATCAGTGATGGCAACACTTTTTGTTGTGATGTGTCGGCACTCACAATGCAATGCCCTGCCCCCCCTGCACATACGCATGCAACATCCCCCACCTACTTACCTGCACTGCACATGTGCGCACCTCCCAGCTGATTTTCGGCCCATTTGAGGCCGTTTTCGCTCTCCCGGAGGCTCCCAGAGCCTCTGCAGCCTCAGGAAGCTGAAAAACGGGCCTTCCGGAAATACCGGAAGTGCCCGTTTTCAGCCTCCGGAGTGCCTCGGGAGCCAAGGGGAGGCTGTTTTCACCCTCCCGGAGGGTTGAGGGAAGCCTCTGCAGCCTCGGGAGGCTGACAATGGGCCCGTTTCTGCACTTCTGGTATTACAGGAAGTCATGAAATGGGCCTATTATTCCTCCTGAAAAGCCTTGCAGAGGCTTTTTCCAAGCCTCTGGGAGGCCCCCAAAAAGCCTCAAACCAGCCGAAAAATCAGCTGTGAGACACGCGCATGTGCAGTGAGGTAAGCTTGCCTGCGACTCGCGTGCCAGCACAAATGGCTCTGCATGCCACTTGTGGTACGCTTGCCATAGGTTCGCCATCACGGCCATAGATGTTCCTAGAGAATGCATCTGAAAATAAAGCTGCTCTTATTAAGAAATTAATGGCCCATTGTGGATTGGCCCTAGCAGGTATTGGACTCTTAATAGTGACATTACTTTGCTTATGTTTTCTCTGTAGTTACATAAACAGTTCTCATGGCTCATGAAGTATTTCCCAGGGCCACAGAAAAATGCCCTGTCTAGCAAGGAGCTGGTGCTTTCCTTTACAAAGAAGATGATACAGAAACACAAAGAAGCAAAGGCAATGAAGGAGCCACAAGATTTCACGGATTTTTACTTGTCACAAATGGAGAAAGTAAGTACCAGCTGCTTGTATATGACACGATAGCAGTGTTCCACTCTCTGAGGGGCTGCCACAAAAAAAGATGGAGTCAACTTGTTTTCCAAAGCACCAGAAGACAATACAAGAAGCAATGGATGGAAACTAATCCAGGAGAAATTTCCTGAGAGGGAGAACAATTAACCATTGGAACGTTTTTTCCTTCAGAAGTTGTGAATGCTCCAATACTGGAGGCTTTTAAGAAGAGACTGGATAACCATTTGTCTGGAATGGTATAGGGTTTCCTGCTCAAGCAGGGGGTTGGACTAGAAGACCTCCAAGGTCCCTTCCAACTCTGTTATTCTGTTATTCTGATTTTCTTACTGCTGGGCATTTTGCAAAAGGGGCTAGTCAAAGGAATTAATATATTCCTTGATGTGCTGAATTTCTTTAAATGCCAAGAGGTCATCTGAGTTTCTCTGTATTACACTTATTTTTGGAACTCTTGCTTGTTGCATTTTCCCACATTTCTCTTTGTCTCCATGTTTATTTGTGAATAATGGAAGGTGATTCACACCTAAACATGGATTGGAAACACATGGGAAAAGCATCAAAAGTTGTGGATACTTTGAAGGGCAATGAAGAACATGAGTTGTGAATGACAATGGATGACCAGGAAGTTTAAATAATAGCTGGTTGGCCTTTAAGGATTTTGTTTGGGTAGAAGCAAAAAGTTGGAAGGGGCTATTGAGTTACACTCCTTCCTCAGTGCAAGAATCAGAATAAGAGCATCTGTAACAGACGCCTGTCTAGACTCTTTGCAAATGTATCCAGCAATGTCTTAATGAAGAATCATATAATAATCAGCTTACTATAGGTCATTTCTCAAGGTCATTTGTTTCTGGAGCATTTGTAAGTGAAGATTTGCGACTGAATGTCAGTGAAGATTCTGAGTTGAAAAGACTTTGAAGCTAAATGCTTTTGTCTATTAAAATGATATGCTCTTTTCATCCAAATCTACATACAACTAGTGATTTGCCATAGGTATAGATTTGAGTGTTTCACACTGTTGGGATAAAACAGCTTGTAATTGGCTAAACAGAATGAACTAGGAATGAATATGAGTAAGAACAAGGATCCTAAAATAATTCTAATTGGTCAAGCCTGATTTATTGCAAAAGTATTTGCCCTTGTAGCTATAGGGGAATGGGGCTTATTCCAACCTTATCTTTTGGGGTGACAAAAAGGTAGGTTGTCATCTGGGTACCACTCAAAGATGAAGAGTAAATGAAATTCTACTCCACTGCTACATCCCTTGTCTCTACTCGTAGTGGAATCACAATATGTTATTGCTACTCCTTAAAAGTTTTTGAAGAGCATTCAGATATCGTCCTACAAGGGCATAAACATAGAGTCAAACATAAACATAGGGTCAAAAGTTGAAAAGTTGAAACTACATTTTTCCTCCCTTGCCTTTACAGTCCAGGAAACTAGGGAAGGTCTCTTCTTGTGATGACCCAGAGTATATCAGAAATATAACAAAATCCAAAACATACCTAAAAGTCCTTTAATGCCTTCAACTTGGCTTCACTGTTTAATTGTTCACAGTGGAGGAGTAAGCTATTTTCAAAATGACATTTCAAAGGAAAGAAACACAGTTCACATTCAAAGAGCCGATAACGAAGCAAAAACCAAAAACAAACCACATTGAATAAAGTTCCTCGACAGACCAGGAAAGATAATTGCCAACTTCAGGAAGATAACCAGGGACAGTCCATTGGAAGAACACCAACCAAGATAAACCTTCTTTAGAAATAAAACACTAATTTGTCTCCAGTGTCTGTTAGCACACAGGTCCACACTCTTATGCAAATCTCCCACTTGCAACCCATGAACAGGATCATGGCCCTCTCCTCCCAAGTAGACCACATTTTTCCCTGATCCTCTCCTCCCTGCATACCCTAGGGTGGATAGAGGATGGACCTGGGTCCTCCTCTGACTGCTGAGCTGGCCTCTGCCCTTCCCCAGCCTCCTCCACAACCTCTGGAGCCATACTTCCACTCCCTGTTGGCTGTTCTTCCTCTTCCTCAGAGTCAGTCTTCACCAGGGGCATGACACTTCTGAGATGTTTGTCATGGCCTGCATTTCTTCTCTGGGCTCAGCTGCCTCTAATCTGATTGTTCTCCGATTGTGGCTTTTTCTCCTGTCTCCCACTACCATTGCAGTGCTGTCTGTCAAGTTCAGGGGAGCTGTAATCATAGGAGAACACAAGATACCTAAATTATAGGTGCTTCATTCAAGGTTTCAGCCACTAATTGGCTACTGGGCTATGTTGTAACTATGACAAGATAGATAAGGATTTAATGTTACAGCCCAGGATCCATTTTGTAAGATGCAAAGAAGCACTTGGAGGACTAGAATAAAGCTGGTCAACAAAAGAGGGAAGAATGGAAGAATCTGGATATGAATCCTGTCCTCTTCTACAAAGTCACCTAGGTTATTAATATCGGCACAGCACAAAAAAAAAACCCTGATATTCAACAAATGGCAAGAAGCTTGCTTTTCCATCAGACCAGTTAGCCCCTAGGCAGGCTGACACACCTGCCAAAGCCAGATGTCTAATCTGCCCTGTAGCCAAAGCCATATGGACTTGAAGGACAGGGAAGAAAAAGTAGGAGTCATATTAACTTAAAGATGCCAATAAAAATGTGGTCCATTCTAATTTTGGTTCACTTTGCTGCATCACTGTCACACTGGGTGTTGAAGCCCATAGCAAAAAGTGTGCTGGAACACAAAAGGAGGGGGAGACCCTCCTTTAACACCAGTACAGTTTGAAATGCATTCACAAAAATTGGGTGTAAATGGGAGGTTGTTGGGGAGGTATAAGATGGGAAGAGTTTCTTAAAACAGGATCTGAGAAATATTTTTCTAAATTCATAACATGGTCACAGTTCCAACAGAAGAGCAAACCTCTATAGATCAGGGTTGAACTGTGGAGTCTTTGAGTTTGGTTGTTGGCTTGCTGATGTTTCACGTTACCTAGTTGGGTAATGAAATGTCTGCAACACAAATAACAACCAAATTCAGAGAGTTTGGTTTAGTTTACTTTATTGTCATTGCACCTCGTACAACGAAATTAAATGCCATCTTCAGTGTACGTGATAACTATAAAAATAAAACACAAACACACATCCTTCGCATTCTGATATTGCATTAATATTGCACTATGGAGTAGAATTCAGTAGAGTTACTGCCCTGGATAGAAGCTGTTTTTCAGCCTATTTGTCCTTGTTTTTATTTAGTACCGTCTGCCAGATGATAATAGTTCAAAAACTATTGCACCAAAGATCATGGTACATTTTTAGTGAATGTATCATGTTGTAGAACAGGGAGCAGCACAGATGATACAACAAGGTTTGGGAGACCAGGCAATAACTTTTAAATGACATTTTCTTTTCTTTTGCCACAAACAGAGCAAAGGTGGCCAGAATACTATCTACAATGAAGAGAACCTGGCTGAATGTATTTTCAACTTCCTTATCTCGTCTGCAGAATCGACTGCAATCACTCTGCAGTGGGCACTGCTGTTGATGGCATCTCATCCAGATGTTCAAGGTGAGGGAGGGGTAGACCACAGGAAGAAGATTGTGGTTGATCCCAGGTAGATCAAAGGGGAGGGATTTCATTTTAACACAGCACCTAAGAGTGGGGAAATCTTCCCCTCTGAAAAAAAAAAAAAGAAAATTAAGAAGGAAACTGTTGCTCTAAATACCTGCTTGAACTGGGCATGGCAGCCTAAACTTCTCACGAAGTTGCTGTAAGTGAAAACGTATAATTGCTCCCAGCTGCATTCTTGGAGGGTAGAGTGGCATTTGACGAGAAAATGATTGCACTGGTAGCTTCTGAAGAGTTGTTCCTGGACATTTTACAAAGTAAACCTGAGTAAAATGAGTATGAGGCACAGAAAAGTTGCAACTTGGAGGAATGGTTTAAGCTATTTTTTTGTGTGTGTGTGTGTAATGAGCAGAAGACATAGTAAACATAATTTTGGCTCTCTCCTCGTACATAATTCCCCACCACCTTAAAATGTTGTCATTTTCACTCACCTCTTATAAGGTGAATTCTTTACCAATTTGGGGGGAACTTTATCTGATGGGAGAATGTTTGATTAACGTTAATAATTCCTTCTGGTCTCATTTTTCTTCTGAAATGCTTGTAGCTCCACGGAATGGGAGCCTAGGGTTTCTTTCACACCACACATTAAATTAGTTCTTTTTCTGGGTTTGACTAATACAGCCCAGCTCTACCGTAGCTTATCGGACTGGATTCACATAATAGATTAAGACCAAACCAAAACCACTAACTTGTCGGAGAGAAACTGGCAGAGTCAGGGGGAAGAGTCAAATAGGGAATTAGTTTAGAGTCTCTATACAGGGTGAAGTCCAACCCCCCTTGAATGCTATTGAACGTTATTAGAGTTTTACTCAGGAGCAAACTGTTAGTCTGAGAAGGTCCTTGTGTATCGGTTTGAGCCAAAAAAGCCTTCACGTGTTCATGCCTGACATTACCCACATTAATATCAACTAACTTTGGAAAGTTATCTATGTAAGTAGCCGCATCTTCTGTTAATACAGGATAAACCAAGGGCTCGACAGGATGTCTCAGGTCAGCCTTATCAGCTGGACCAGAATGGAACATAACCAGATAAACTAATTCAACTTTATAATGCCTTGGTAAGGCCACACTTGAAATACTGCATCCAGTTTTGGTCGCCATGATGTAAAAAAAGATGTTGAAACTCTAGAAAGAATGCAGAGAAGAACAACAAAGATGATTAGGGGACCGGAAGCCAAAACATAAACATAAACAGCAGTTGCTGGAAATGGGTACGCCTAGTTTAATGAAAGGAAGGGCCAGGGTAACATGATAGCAGTGTTCCAATATCTCTCAGGGGCTGCCACAAAGAAGAGGGAGTCAAGCTATTCTCCAAAACACCTGAGGGCAGGACAAGAAGCAAGATGGAATCAAGGAGAGAAGCAACTTAGAACTAAGAAGAAATTTCCTGACATTTAGACAAATTAATCAGTGGAATAACTTGCCTCCAGAAGTTGTGAGTGCTTCGACGCTTGAAGTTTTTAAGAAGAGATTTGTCTGAAATGGTATAAACCATAAAATGGTTTCCTGCCTAAGCAGGGGGTTGGACTAGAAGACCTCCAAGGTCCCTTCCAACTCTGTTATTCTATTCTATCTGGATAGGAAATTCTCCCTGCCTATCCATAAGGTTCCGACATGACCCATTCATATTCTAACCTGATTGTAAAGCTACATTAGTAGAATCTTGCCAGTTTGAAGTCTCAGGTCTTCTGCCATCTCCTTTACAGCCCAGGAAACTAGACAGGGTGCCTTCTGTGTTTCTTGCTCCACCCACTATCCAGTTGCAGGTTATGTCCTCTCTTATTTGACCAATTTCCTAGGCAACATCTCCTCTACCTGTCTCACGAGGTCTTTTCAATATACCATCATCCTGCCTTCCAGATGGGCTGTAAAGGATTTTCCAAGGATATATTGGCTTGGAATATTGGGAGCTGTGCTTCTATCCACCTGAGAAAGATTAGCCTGAGAAATTCAGATTTTGACATCATGTAGCAACAAAAGTTTGCATATGGTATAGGACCTAATAGACAGGGGTGGGCAGGGGTGGGATCCGACAGGGTTAACTACCAGTTTGGTAATTTACGAGGTTCGGTGATTTACAATGTGCTTCCCTGCATGCTGCCGGCACACGCCTGTAAATCGTCATCAGCATGCTGCGTGCAGAGAAGCAGCCTTTCAAAAAGCCCCCTTTTCCTGCTTTTTTAACTGCAGCTGTGCCTCGCACGGCAGCTGAAGTTGAAAAAATCAGGAAATAAAGGTCAGGTAAGAGCCTTGGTGGGTGGGTGAGCAAAAACTGGTTCTATGTCTGCTGCTCTTCAGAGCTACAGAGGTGGACAGAACCAGTAGAAACCCACCCCTGGTGTTGGGATTCAAATATTTTTACCACCGTTTCTATTGTCTTGGCTTGGTGGGCACGCTTTACACGCATGCATACACTTTGCGTGCGCACACCAAACATGCACTTTGCACAGGCGCAGAGGCATTCTAGCTCACCTCCTGCAAGCCTGCAGTCTCCCGGTCGCTTCAGCAGCTGCCGTGCAGCACTCTTCTGTGCCACGCAAAGCAGCTGCACTTCAAATTCAGAGGATAAAGATGAGTATGGGAGCCCAGATGGGCGGGTGGGCCCAATAGCAGAGCAGCGGAGAGAACGGGTTCGGTCTCTGCTGCTCATCGTTGCTACTGGCTCTGTAGAACCGGGCCAAACCGGCAGAATGCCACCACTGCTAATAGACCCAGGTTCAAATCCACCTTCACTGACATTGGTCTGTGGGATTCTTGCAGTCCAACCTTCACAGGATTGTTGTTATGGCAAGTTACTAACAAGTTACTAATTTGCCTTACTTTGTAAATGTGACATACGAACAAGCATTTCCCAAAGTAAAATGTCTCCCCCACTTTCATTTTTTTTCCAGATAAAGTCCATAAGGAGATAGAAAAGGTTTTGGGTTCTTCAAATGCTATCAGCCATCAAGATTGGAAGAAACTACCTTATACCAGTGCTGTGATTCATGAGATCCAGCGAACCAAAGAAGCATTCTTATTCAGAATCATCAAACAATGCACAAAGGACATGAATATCTTTGGTTTTCTTGCTCCCAAGGTATAGAACAATGCAGGGGTAAGCTGCTGCAGGTTCGTAGGGGTTCGTGAGAGCCCCTCGCTAAGATTCTGTGCAGTTTAGAGAACCCCCAAATGCAACTCCTGGCTGGCCCTGCCCACTTCAACCCTCCCCTCCCAGGAGTCCCTACATGGCCTGTTTTGGATGTAGGGCGCACACAGAGGCTGGGGAGGGCAAAAAAAACAGGCCTCCTGGAAGTTCGGGAAGGCCAGAAATGGGCCTGTTTCCAGCTTCCAGAGAGCCTCCGGAGCCTGGGGAGGCCGTTTTCGCCCTCCTGGAGGCTCGAGAAAAGCCTCTGGAGCCCGGGGAGGGCAAAAATACCCCCCCCCCCTGCACTGTGGTGCAGGCTGACTAGGCCACGCCCACCATGGCCACGCCCACCCAACAACCGGGCTAAAATTTTTGAAGCCAACCCCTGGAACAACGGTGATATATCAATGAGTGAATGAATGACTGAATAAATGAATGAAAACATGGCTCCTATATATTCTACCGGTGACTCTGCAGTGGTCCTTGCCCTGTGAAACACTCCTTCTCCAAGAATGCAGTAGGCCCCTATCCTTCTAGCCTTGAAAAGTTGGCTCTTTCCACAAACACTGAAGTAAGGCAAGCAAAATTAGAACATTGAAGGATGGAGGAGAGTTTGCCTTTGGGATGTTGGGAGTTTTCGTTATAATTTTATGGATTTTGACCATTAATTTACAAGGTTATGGCATATAAAATGGGTGACATTAAAGGTATTTTAAATAAATAACTATTCATAGCCCTTATTGCATCAGTAATGAGATTCATGTCAAGAAGAAGCAGTGACACTTTCTAAAGACTTTCTAAAATAGTTCGTGAACAGCTGCTAATTTCTTCTTTTCATAGAATCCTAGAGTTGTAAAGTATTGTAGGCCAGTGGTGGGATTCAAAATTTTTTACTACCAGTTCTGTGGGCATGACTTGGCAGGGGATGGATACTGCAAAATCTCCATTTCCTCCCCACCCCACTAACCTGCTTTCCAGCTCTGTTCTCCTGTGCAGGGCAACCAAAGAAGACCCAGCCGATCAGCTGGGACTCAATGGGAGGCCGAGAAGAGATGTGGGCAGGGCCAGTTAGAGGTGGCATTTGCCGGTTCTCCGAACTACTCAAAATTTCCACTTCTGGTTCTCTAGAACTGCTCAGAACCTGCTGAATATCACTTCTGCTGTAGGCCAACTATTGACATCTAATCCAAGCCCTTCTCAGTGCAACATTCACAGAAGCATCTCAGATAGATGATCCTCAAACATTGTTTGAAGACTTCCAGTGAAGCGGTACTGAAATTTCCATGTAGCTTCCTTCCCCTTCTCCCCAGTAATGGCTACCTATAGCTCGTGGGGTTTGTGAGGATTTAAAAAACAAATAAACAGGAAGAGTATAATATTACTTTGTACATGATGCTAGCACTGATGATGTTACCTAGTTAGGCTAATGAAACTTCTGCAAGAGAACAAAAAAAGCTTAGATAACACCAAGGACCCCTTATTTTATACATGCTCAGAATGAGTTTTTGCCACCTCTGTTTCATAAGAGACACGACAAATTGATTTAAATTCAGATGTGCCAGAGAAATATACTATGCTTAATTTCAAATTGATGAAGTTTGCACACCTTGTGTGAAAAGGGCTCAAAACCTGGTCCTGTGAAAGTGAGGAAGTAATTAGAAATGGGATAATTTGGATGCCTTGAGTTAACTTTTTTTTAATTACTTCCAGGGAACTTTTATTAACCCAGATCTGAATTCAGTATTACTTGATCCCAAACTATGGGAGACACCTGAAAAATTCAACCCAAGTCATTTTTTGGACAAGGATGGACAATTTGTTGCCAAAAAAGAATTTCAGCTCCTTACTGGTGGTAAATATGAAAATGATTTATTATCATATAGACAGTGATTTTTATTTTAAATAGGAAACCTGTGTTTTGTTTTCAAAGACAAAAGGGATATTTAGATCATGTAAGCCAAACTTCCAAAACTTAAAGAAGATTTATTAGGACTAAACATGCCAGCACTGCCTGGGTGTAGCCGACTCTGAGCCACATCAATCATTGTCACCTTTGACCCTGGTTTTCCTCCAGGTGTATCGTAGTTCATATTCTCCAATGGGACACATCCGTAGCCAAGAGTCATCAATCATGCTCTCCAGTTAGAATTTTGCACGGCAGAAACTTCGGTCACCTAGTTACTATCTTTGAAAACATTTATGGAATGCAAGCTGCCCACTGTTCCCCCCTCCCTTTCTGTTGGCAACTCTAAAATGACCATAGAAATATTTTATGAGTTGACAGTAGGTTGAGGACTATCTGTATTGCATGAAGTTATACAATAGATCCATTCAGAAATAAACTTAAGCAAGTTGGGGGAATGAAAATGGTCTTCATATACTAAGAAAAAAATGACACATGTCATGACACAACCAGTTCCTGGAGCAATGCCAGATGATGTGGTAAAAGATTCTCAATATTATCATGAATTGTTGTTTGCATGATTGTTTCATAACTATGCCTCCCATTTCCTCCACAGAGTCAGATGGGTCTTTAGAGGATAAATTAGCAAGAGCTGCGTCCTTTACCTTCTTTATAAATCTGCTCAAGATATTCGTCTTCAAGTTACCAGAAGGAGAGAAGAAAACCAGCGAAAAAACTAGAATTGGGTTGACAACGTGTCCTCATTCTTATAAAATCTGTGCTGTTCCTCACCACAAGACATCCTAAATTCTAATTATCAATAGCACACTCCGATTTTACAATAGCCTTTTCCCACTGTGAGGTTCAATCTCAACTTGCTCAAATCAATCTTGAGTAGAAATTCACAGAACGAATTGGCTCTTTGACAGATTGGATTGCCGAGTCTGTGATGATTGCCTGACATAGTCTTCCTTGTTTGACACTACTAATTTAATGTACAATATTTGGTTCTTTGCAGTGCATAGCACTTTCTGATTATATGCCATGAAGTCATTTTTAACTCAAGGGACCATAAAGATAGATTTTGTCCATGATAATGTATCCCTAACCTGTTCTTTCAGATATCCATTGGTGCATTCATCATGCTGTGATACATGACAATAAATTCTCTTCGGGTCTTTGAAAAAAATCTTGAGGGAGTTTTATTAAATAAATTATTACCTTTATGGTCAGAGTACAACATGTGTACAATGAGCCTCCCTTCATGCACCCCCCCACCCACAACTCACAGTGAGGACAGAAGTCCCTAACCCAGTCCCAATCTTATTACACTATGTGACCTTGTTGCACAATGCAACAAGGCCCCGCAAGTCTATCCTACTATGTTGACATGAAGTTATTTTCCATTCAGGAGTCTGACAGCCCACGGGTAGAAACTGTTCTTCAGCCTGTTGGTGTGGCTGCCTATGCTTCTATATCTCCTACCCGATGGTAGGAGAGTGAAGAAGTGCTGACCGGGGTGTGAGTCGTCCCTGAGAATTTTCCTCCCTCTTCTAAGGCAGCGAATCCTAGCGAGGTCATCTAGTGGTATCCAGGAACAGCCCACAATGTTTTCTGCTGTGCTCACCACCCTCTGTAATGTCTTTCTATCCGCGGCTGTCAAGCCAGCATAATGCAATATGTGAGGATGCTTTCTATTGTGGACCGGTAAAAGGAGGTCATCAGTTGTTATTCCACTTTATTCTTTCACAAGACCCTAAGGAAATGGAGTCTCTGTTGGGCCTTTCTGGCCACCTGGGTTGTGTTGATTTTCCAGGTGAGATCTTCGCTGAGGTAGACACCCAGGAATTTAAAGGAGGAAACTCTCGATGTAAAGTGGGGCAGGTTCCTCTCTCTTCTTCCAGAAGTCTAACACTATCTCCTTTGTCTTGCTGATGTTTAGGTGCAGGTTGTTTTCTAGGCACCATGAGGATAATTTTTGAACCTCCCCCCGTACGCTGCTTTGTCTCCACCTGTAATGAGACTCAATATCGTGGTATCATCTGTGAACTTAATGATCACAGTGGATGGGTCAGACAATACACAATCACGTGTGTACAGTGAGTACAGATAGGGACTGAGCACACAGCCCTGTGGGGAGCCAGTGTTAACCTTCAGGGAGATGCTGGCTCTCCACAGGGCTGTGTGATCAGTCCCTACCTGTACTCACTGTACATTCTATACATTCACTGTACAAATTGTAACATTCAGGATATGGTACATTCTCTTTTACAAGTTGATTAGTAGATCACATTACATGCTAAGCGCAATTTATTTTCAGAAAACATCTATGCCATGCACACCCTAAATGGCGGGGCACACCTTACAAAATATAATCAAAATACAATAATAATGTGGGAAGCCCCCCTCTCCTAGAAGAATGAAATATTTTGAGGAATATTGAAAAAGACAGAATATTATATTTGTCTGAATGAGACATGGAGAAACACATTTTTTTAAGAAGCAGGGAGCAGCCCCAGTCTCTCTGTCCTCAAGCAGAAATCAAGGAGGCAGCTTTTAAAAATGCAGATTTGATAACTCCCTGTTTTGTCTAAACAAAAGCAAAATGGTAGGATTAGCCCCCACTCAAGATCCAACACAGGACAAAGCCATTAAAGCACAACAGGAATTGCCCAACACCCTTTCAGAACACAAGCCCCTTCATTGCACCATCCCAGAGCAGTCCAAATTTCACCTGGGAGCTCAGATAAACAATAAGCCAGAGGTTAACCAGATTAACTCAGACAAGCACCTAGGATTTGCATTTCCTTTTGCCTATGGAGCCAGCTATGACCCCTACATAACCCCTACATAATGCCCTAGGAATCTGACAACAGCCAATAGAATATTAAAGGACATGTTCTTGCACAGGGACAGAAAGCTCAAATACAAAGCCCAAAGAAGGTATAAAAACCATCCACTCCAGCAGTGGGATCCTACCTGTTACATTTACCAGTTCGGGGATCCCGTGTGCACCTTACGTGCACGCAGCTTTCCCCACACCAGCTGTGGCCTGCGGCGCCAATCAGCTGAGAGGATAAAGAAGGGGAAAGCGCAGGATCGGCCCTCCCACCTTCCCCTGAGCTTTCCTCTTCGTTCTCCTCTCGGCTGATTGTGGGAGGCTTTTTGTTTTACTACCAGTTGGGTGAACCAGTCTGAACCGGTAGCATACCACCACTGACCCACTCTCAATTCCATTTTTGTCAGCTGCACCAGAACTATAAGTGCTAGTGGTTCTGCTTCATCAATAAAACCATTTTTCCAATCAACCTCCATGTTTCCAGTGTCTTTCTCCCAGCTTGGAACTGAACCAGACGGATATTTCTTCCCACAATAATAATAACAATTAGAATTGCAGTACTTTAGAAATAATTAAAAAAAGGCGTCTCCAAGGATGAGGAAAAGGGAAACGCTGTTTCATTTTGTTTTTAACACAGAGCATAATTCAGCCTCAGGATTCTTCAAAATTCATTTTACATTCACAGTTGACAGGTGTAAATGTTATGGAAATGTATATTAAGTATGGAGAAAGAGCCCAAGAGACTGAAATAGAAACAAGCAAAGAATCATTGCAATGCTTCGGAGGAAACAGGCATAAAAACAAAATATCTAATGCCACACAGAGAGCTAATTTGAAATAGTGGTTAAGGTGCTGGCTGAGAAACCAGGAGACTAATGAGTTCTAGTCCTGCTTTAGGCATGAAATCTGGCTTGGTGACTTTGGGCCAGTTATTCTCTCTCTCAGCCCAGCTGTGCTAGCTGGAGAATTCTGGGAGTTGAAGGCCTAAAATTGCCAAGTTTGGAGACCTCTGTTCTATAACAACTAAAAGATATACAATATATTCCAATTGTGCCCTTATCTCCTCCAAAACAACATACATTCATGAGTAGGTTTATTCCCTTTACCTTCCACCAACACTGTTTTCATAAAATCCCCGCATATTTGTTTACTTTAATCATCCCTTTTTAAAATTTAATTTATGTTGTTAATTTATCATTTATCATCATACTCCAAATTTCATTATACCACTCAATATCCCAATTTCGTCCCCAATATTTAGCCATCCCTAATCTAGCAGCCATTATCAAATTTACAATCAATTCCTTTTTTTTGTTTTGTTTGTATCCTATTTTTCCACCAGCAACAGATATGATGACATATCTAAATTTACAGTCAAAAGTGCTATAATTTCCCTAAACACTATGTCCCATATTTTTTGTGCACTATCACAATCCCACCACATATGTTTATATGTCCCAACCTCTTTCTTGCACCTCCAACAAATATTTATATATTTAACATCTATTTGATTTAATGTACCTGGTGTTAGGTACCACCTCCATATCACTTTAATATTAAAATAATATTTAATAAAATATTAAAATGTTAAAACAATGTATAAAAGTTAAAATTTAAAAAGAGGCAAGGATGATTAAAAAAACAGTGTCAAAGAAATGGCTTTTTGAGGGTGTATTTAAGTTTTTAGCTGTAGTCCTGGCTTTATTTTTATCTAGCCTTTTTACACGAATACTTTATTATTTATTTATTTAATTAATGTATTTCATTTGTTTATTTTATTTTATTTGTTTGCCACTCCTCTTGCCTCAAGATGACTCTGGGCACTTGCAACGTTTAAAGCAATAAAGCCGTAATATATATATATATTTCAGATATTTACAATTAAAAGATAAGGAGGATGACAGCAGGATGCACGGGGGGAAATGGGATATTCTCTTAATCTATCAGCCACCTCCACTGTGATAGTCCCCGGTTGAAATCCCAAACCAATTGGCAAAACCAGGTCATTTTATTACCTTATTTTACCATATATTACTATTGTTTTACGGCACATGATAAATTATGACCTTTGGTTACAGCAGTATTATTATTAATCATACGGCACCTTCATATCAGATAACAGATAATCAGAGTTGGAAGGGACTTTGTAGGTAATCTACATATCACACGTCGATAAAAACACAAGAGATAAAAATCCAAAATATGACATACAAAATCTAAAATATTATAAACGTATGTCTGAATTACAGATATGCAATTTTGCTTCATGTGTCACAGCCAGGAAATCAGCAAAGTCTCCACTGTTATTTGGAGCTCTCTCACGACAGTATATGCTGGATAGTTTGTTTTTCGGCCCTGCAGTCACAATTTGTTGGTCGTATTTTGCCTCACTTATAGAGGGCATCTGCACATTTACCATAGCCAGTGTAAATTCTGTTCAGTGTTGTCCATATCACACAGGGTTACAACAATACATTTATCCCAAGGGTGCTTTTTCTGGAGGCAATTGGACTTTCTTGTTCTTTTTTCCTTTGAAGATGTTTCACTTCTCATCCCAAAAGCTTCTTCAGCTAACAGGATAGATTTATAAATCCTTCCATTCCTCACTATCCTGTCAGAGCTGAAGAAACTTCTTGGATGAGAAGCGAAACATCTTCAAAGGAAAAAAACAAGAAAGTCCAGTTGCCTCCAGAAAAAACACCTTTGGGACAACCATGACCGGTGGATGACAGAGAATCTCTACAGACTTTTAACCATAAATTTACTTACTTACTCTACTGAGGGCCTGTCCAGAAAACAGGCACTGCAACTGAGGAACAGTCCTTCCTCGTTTCAAGATCTTTTAATTTCTGGAAAATGGGACACTACAAGACCCTAATAAATCTCCTGCTGACCCTAATAAATTGAAATAATCCTGGTTGTAGCAGGCAATTCTGTGAGCATAAGGCAATCAAGTATAAAGGGCTTTAGAGGTCAAAACCAGCTCTTTAGCACATGTGTTTTAGACTAACCGCAATTGAAGTGGCTAATAAAGGCAGCCAATGTAAAATGTATTTTGAGTCACAATCCCAAAATTGAAGAAAGACTCTGGGTTGGATGCTTTATAAATTAGCACACATACTTTACCAAGATGATCTGCAATGTAAATGCTTCTCTTTTCTCTTTGAAAGACATATGATTGAAAGTGTAATTTTAAGAAATGTTACCTTTTGTTCTGGCTGAAGGCAACTGAAGAAATCTACTACAAATTGAAAAAAAGATACTAAGAGCATATTGATATGAATATGTTTTATTAGCATCCAAAAGAAAAAAAAGGCAAAACGAAACAAGCTTAACATTGTTCAGCCACAATAGGTTGAAGATGTGTAGAGTAAACGGAGGCGGAAGCTCAAATTAAGAGAATAGGCATATAGGAAGCATTTACCCATTGAATGAGTACTGTAATTACTTTAATCCTTTGTGTGGTGTTTTTATAAGTTTAAGTTTTGTGGGGAATAGCACATATCTTGTAAGGCTGTGGGGGCATGGTCAAGTTTACAACAGGTTTTTCATTGAATTCTTTCACTCCTTCAGGCATCTGGAAGCTGAAGGCCCTCAATAGGCTAGTCAGAAAGATGAAGATCTCAATTCTTGCCAGCAGCTCTCCCACGCATGCACGTGCACCTGTAAATGAAACAAAACATGCATCAAGGGGATAATAATAATTTGCAGAGTATACCCCATAAGCAAGAAAATCTCTTCAGGAGGATTTAACTCAAGATCTACCAGATCAGGGGTGTCAAACTTGATTTCATTGAGGGCAGCATCAGGATTATGTTTGACTTTGGGGGTGTCGGGGTGTGTGGCCAGGGTGTGTGTGACCAGGTTGACATTACTTGTGTCAGGGGTGCCTGTGGCTTGAGCACTCCCAAGCTCTGTTTTCAGCTTGGGATGGCCTCCTGTAACCCCCTGCCAGTGAAAACGGAGCTTGGGAGGGCCATGCAAATGGAGCAAATAGGATGGCTAAAGCTGTATTTGAAATATGTGTGTTTGTGCATGTGTGTGTTGCCTATAGTCCATAGTAGATCCATCAGAACCCAGTTTGAAAAACCTGGGTTAAATCTACTCAAGGCATTCCCAAAATCACTGGAATGTTCTCCATTGCCGGAACTTGGCTGTTACTGGAATCTTGTGTGGCTACTATGCTATGTAATACTTTCTCCAAAGAGGTAAGTTTTGCCTCTGCTCTCCCAGTATTTAAAGAAATGGAAAAAATATATCTTGTCAATGATAACTGTTAATCTGTTTTAATTATTTAGCTTTCACTTTTTTCCCCAAATTTTGCATGTCACCTTGAGTAATTGTGGCAACGAATGGTCCATCACCTTCTATAAATTTGTCATTTCTACAGGGATGCGGTAGCTCAGTGGCTAAGACGCTGAGCTTGTCGATAAGAAAGGTTGGCAGTTCGGCAGTTTGAATCCCTAGCACCACGTAACGAAATGAGCTCCCATTACTTGTCCCAGCTTCTGCCAACCTAGCAGTTCGAAAGCATGTAAAAATGCAAATGGCAGCGATGAATTAGGATCTAGTTTCGGAATTCCACAGATATGCCAGGCTATTTTAATAAAAGTACTTTTGAGATTATGCTTGTCTTGGAGTTACTGACAGGAATGGATGTTCCCTAGAAAGCTGACATCAAGTAGAAAAATAGGGACCATTTTGGTGGGAAGGTAACTGCGTTCCGTGCGTCTTCGGCCTTTAGTCATACTGGCCACATGACCATGGAGATGTCTTCGGACAGTGCTGACTTTGAAATGGCGATGAACATCACCCCCTAGAGCTGGAAACGACTAGGACGTATGTGCGAGGGCCGAGGGGAACCTTTACCTTGATCTTTTATTTACTGTATTTCACATTATTTGCGGATGTGGTTGTCTTGTGGATAATATTCCATGAGGTGAGGTTGGAGGAGTGGTAAATGAGTGCATGACTTTTAGATTCTTACTGTAGTGGCTCACTTCCTACCTATAGTAACTGGGTTGGCTATGGAGGAATGAAAGAAGGGGGTACCATGGATACAGTGGCAAGTGGCGGCGGCAATGAGATGTGATAGGATTTCTGGAATTGGGAGGGCGGGACAGCAGACAGCAAGAGTCACAGGTTTACAAATCTACCATAGTTGAAGCTGTGGTTTTTTTATGCTCTTTGCTATCCATACCATCAGTAGAGAAGGATTCACTGATATACATGAAGTAACAGACAGGAGTGGAAGCATTGTGGTAGAAGGAATTCTACATTCATTAAAATGGTGGAGCTTAATAACTCTGTGGTCCAGTTCCACCAGTAATTTGGCTAGTTTTCTTTGGATTTATCTAACAATTCTCCCCCAAGCACTGAAGGTCATTATACAATATTGTGCTTGTCTTACAAAGCTCTACTGGGTAAGAAAGCCAGTTTGGTCTAGTCCAGGGCTCACCAACCTTTTGGACCTCAGGGACCACCAAATTTTAAATCCCGTGGACCAGAGACCCTGGGAAAATCCCAAAAAAGTCTGCAGGAAAATTTCCCACCCCGTTTTTCCTACTAATCATTCTTTATTTGGGATTGCAGGATACTGTCTTCAGCTCCATTCTCAGGGAAGGAGGGAGGGAGGGAGAGAGAGAGAGAGAGAGAGAGACTTTTGGCTTCACGCAAAGAAAGCAGCAGAAGCAGAAGAAGTCTTTCTTTCTCTCTCCCAAACTCTGGCTGAAATGAGTCTTTGTGAAACTTGTCACACTGGTGCAACCTCTTGGAGCAGGATGCCTTGCAGGGTCCCAAAGACTCATTTCTGGCAGAGTTTGGGGGAGAAAAAGAAAGATTTTTGGTGCTTTCCTTGCGTGTGGCCAAAAGCAGCAGAAGAAAGAAGTGTAAAGAAGCAGCCCGGTAGCCAGACGAAGCGTGTGGGCAAGTTCTCCCCCCTCTGCCTTTCCCCCCCTCCCCTCACTACCTCATGTTGTTCACAATGCAAGTGACGCAAGCCTTGTATTCCCGTGCAGTCTGGATTAATTGCTTTGAGGGATGCTTTAATTAATTAATTAATTGCTTTGAGGGACCACCAAAATGGTTAAGGCACAATGTTAGAAAATGGGAGACTGTGAGTTCTAGTCACACCTTAGCCATGAAAGGCAGCTGGGTATTCTTAGGTCAGTCACTGTCGCTCAGTCCAACTCACCTCACAAGATTGTTGTTGTGGGGACAATAGGAGGAGGAAATGTGTTGGATATATTCACCATTCAAGTTATTTGTAAAAATAACGAAGATGGGATATAATAAATAAAAAAATATAAAACTAGTATTTCTTCATACATCACAGTTTATAGCCTAAGGGGAATTTCAGACTCTTAGTTTTGAAACTAGAAGGAATTAGGACTCCTAATTCCTCCTGGATCTCTTCTTCAGACCATGATGACTTCAGAACAACTCAGGGGTGGTGGTGGTGGTGTTGGGAATTTGAAATCAGCTGTTTTGGACTCTTGGATTTACCTGTTCCGAATGCTAGGAACTCTTCCCGTTCAACGAACTTCCCATCCTTGTCTAAAAAGTGATTTGGGTTGAATTTTTCAGGTGTCTCCCATTGTTCAGGATCTAGAAGAACAGAACGCAGGTCCGGGACAATAAAGGTCCCCTGTAAAAAAAAAAAGAAAAAAGAGATGACTAGACAGAGCAGTTTCATAAGGCAAACAGGCAGAAAAGTTCAAAGAATATTGAAGAAACTTTTATTCATAGTTTGCCTTTATGGATCCATATTTGTCTAAGACAGTTACGGACAGAGAAGTTTTCTTAGCATGGTGTGTGGAGCTTCTAGAATGGTTGCAGGAACTGGGCTTGGCTAGTCTAGTGAAGAGAAGGACCAGTGGAGACATGATAGCAGTGTGCCAATATTTGAGGGGCTGCCCCAGAGAGGAGGAGGAGGGGGTCAAGCTATTTTCTAAAGCACCTGAAGGCCATACAAGGAATAATGGATGGAAACTGAACATGGAGAGATTTAACTGGGAACAAGGAGAAACTTTCTGAGAGTGAGAACAATCAACCCATGGAACAGAAGTTGCCCTCGGAAGTTGTGGGAGCACCATCACTTGAGACTTTCAAGAAGAGATTGGACTGCCATCTGTCAGAAATGGTGTAGGGTCTCCTGCTTGGGCAGGGGGTTGGACTAGATGACCTACAATTGGTCCCTTCCAACTCAGATCATCTGTTATCTGTAAAGAAGGAGGTGAATGATAAAAAATAAGTGACTGATCAGTGATGAAGGTGGGGAGGAGCAGGCCCAGTGTCTGTTGGTACTGGCAAGGCAGGATAGGTGAAGGATAGACAGAGGGTGGATTTCAGTATCTCTGAGGTTGGTCGTAAGGGCAAGTGCCTGTGGGACAGAGGTGGTATTCAGCAGGTTCTGACCAGTTCTGGAGAACCGGTAGCGGAAATTTTGAGTAGTTCAGAGAACTGGCAAATACCACCTCTGACTGGCCCCGCCCCCATCTATTCTCTGCCTCCCGAGTCCCAGCTGATTGGCTGGGTCTTCTTTTGTTGCCCTGCACAGGAGAACAGAACTGGAAAACAGGTTAGTGGGGTGGGGAATGGAGATTTTACAGTATCCTTCCTCTGCCACACCTACCAAGCTACATCCACCAAGCCACACCATGCCCACCAAGCCACGCCCATAGAACTAGTAGTAAAATTTTTTGAATCCCAACACTGCTGTGGGAGTGCTGTAGTGACTATAACTTTGAAACAGGGTCATAATTAGCTTGGGAGGGGTGGGGTCTATGGTAGCTTTGAACAGTTGTTGAGTGGCCACAAGTTGAAGACTACCTATATTCTGCTTTTCCTTCTAAGTTGGAGTACCAGAATGTATCCTGACCACATTTCTCACCTTTGGAATGTGGTATCCCCTCATCTTCACGTCCTTTGTGCTTTGCCTGGGAACCCCAAATAGCAAGGCATACTTTGCACGCTGCATTTCATGAATCACAGCATTGGTATAAGGCAGCTTCTTCTTATCCTGATAGGAAATTGACCTTGAGAAGCCAAACACATCTTCAATCTCCTTCGTGACTTTCTCTAGGAAAAAATGATGGGAATAGAAACTTCATGTTCAGTATTGTGGTTCACTTATTTATTTCCTAATATTAATCCTCAGTAATACTGTAGAATATCCTTTGAGGGCATTAAATGCATACTGCACGAGTCAAAAAGAGGGCTGTGAAAACATTTACGGACCCCTTACATCTCAGACATAAACTGTTTCAAAACGATGCTATATAGAGCACTGCACACCAGAACAACCAGACACAAGGACAGTTTCCCCCCCGAAAGTCATCACTCTGCTAAACAAATAATTCCCTCTGCACTGTCAAACTATTTACTAAATCTGCATTACTATTACTATTAATCTTCTCATCATTCCTTATCACCCATCCCCTCCCACTTGTGACTGTATGACTGTAACTTTGTTGCTTGTATCCTTATGATTTATATGGACTGTTTCCTAGTATGATTTGATTGCTTATTGTACCCTATGACTATCATTAAGTGTTGTACCTTATGATTCTTGACTCTTGATGAATGTATCTTTTCCTTTATGTACACTGAAAGCATTTGCACCAAGCCAAATTCCTTGTGTGTCCAATCACACTTGGCCAATAAAAGAATTCTAATTCTAATTCTAATTCTAATTAAATGTAATCCCATTCTCCTTTTGAGTGTCACAAAGGAGTACAGATTAAAAATCCATTTCCTTGGCACTGATTAGATCTGGTCCAAAGGGATGCAAACTTATAGATTCCATTGAATCTCCTTCATTCAAATCAGTTGTCAGAATTCAATCCCAACCAGTTTAGAAATCTGATTCAATTTTTTAAAAAATCAATAACTGCCTTGAAAATATTCTCAACCAAATTTTTGAACAGCCCTCTTGGGTCGATTGTCATACTCTAATTTGGACTTTGACACGCAATCTAGGCTGAGAACAAGTACCAAACCTGAAAATCCTGGTGGATTTTTACATTTTAAGTGTGTTATATATTTTAGATCTGTATTGATTTCTACTTTTTGGTTCACCGCTCAGAATTTTATCGAGGAAATCAAAGAAGCCTCTCCATATGTATATTCTTGATTTCCCCCTAATCCTGCTACACTCGTGTTTGTGGTTCAAAAAGGTTCAAAAATCCAGCTATGAAATTATTATGAAGAGCAAATGCAGTTTATCGTTCAACAACTGTTGATATTTCAAATAATTTTAAATGATTAGGAACCTGCCCTAGTTCCTACTTCCCAGATTTCTCTCACCTTGGATATCAGGATGCTTTGCCAAGAGGATCAGTGCCCACTTCATAGAAACAAAAGATGTGTCTGTTCCAGCACCAAAAAAATCATAAATACACTGAGCCAAGTTTTCTTCATTGTAGGTAGAGTTGGGGTCATTCTTGCTCTGATGTTTAAAATGTGAAAGTAAAATTTACGATGAATTCTATGCAGCTTTTCTGTGTTTATTCTGTTGCTTCTGTGCCGCAAATCAACTTCAAATCTCAACAAACAAATGCTCTGTCTTACATATTGGCAAGAAAAGATTAAAAATAAAATAAAATACAAGCTGGATGGACAAGACATTCTCTCACTCTGTCAAGGACCTTGGAGTTCTCATCTCTGATGATCTAAGTGCTAGAGCCCACTGTAACAACATTGCCAAAAAGGCATTAAGAGTTGTTATCCTAATTCTGCCAAGCTTTTTCTCCAGTAATATTGCACTACTAACTAGAGCAGTGGTTCCCAAACTTTTTCAGTCCACCACCCCCTTGATGCTATAAACTCATCCTTAGTGCCCCCCCTATAAATAGCATTATTCAGAATAGCGGTTTGCATGACCCACTGCTAAATCTTCTAGCTTAGAAGTAGTTGCCACTAGGTGTAATTGTGCAGTTGCATTCTTTTCCAACAATGTCACTTGAGAATCCAAACATTACTGAAAAGTAAGAAGTATTTCCAGATCATTCAAAGGGATTATATAATATATATTCACCTAGAATAGAGAATATCCCAATCCCTGATCATCATACTTATTGATCAGTTCACTTCTGCTTTAGCATTTTCTTCATTAAAATCAGCATTTGCTAAGTCAGAGGTCTCCAAACTTGGCAACTTTAAGACTTGTGGACTTCAATTCCCAGAATTCCTCAGCCAGCTTTGTCCACAAGTCTTAAAGTTGCCAAGTTTGGTGACTGACCCCTGTTGTAAATGATCTTCCAGCTCAAAAACTCCCAACAGGTTTTATTTCTACCCAGAGATTTGGCAGGGAAGAGAGAGAGAAAAAAAGGAAACTTCCACTTGTACATCAACTCTCCTCAGCCTGAGAGCCATTTCTTCACCCCTTTAAGAGGGCTATACAACTACTGTGTCCCCCACCTTTCAGTGGACAGCCTTTTGAAAACACCCAGCACCCGAGGTAGCTGCCCATCCTGGTATACGGACGAAGCAAGCAGGTTCAGCACCCCTCCTTGCTTGCCTGCTAACCATCCACGCAACCCTGGGCAGCTTAGTGAAACATAAAAGAGCACTCCCACGCATGAGCAGAGAGCTGCAGGTTGATGCTCAGGCTCCGAAAGAGATATTGGAGTTGGTGAGCTTTTCCTGCTTCTGTTGCAGCCATCTTGGGCAAGGTGAGTTAATTGGCAGCGATCAAATGAAACATCTTCCAGCTCTTCATGATTGAATTTAAGAGTGCCCCAGGGAAGAAGCTGAGAAGCCGAAAGCAAGGTGGGGCGTGTCCCTCTGCGAGGAGTGTGAAGGGAGGCAGACACCTTGCCTCTGAGGGAAAGAGGAGGTGAAGCATTGGCTGTCACCTGGGAGGGGACACGTTGCACGCCCCGTCACCCTCACAGTCACTACTTTTGCTCTCAGCTTCTTCCATGGGGCACTCTTAAACACAATCTTGAAAAGCTTGCAAGTCCCCCCCCATCGGAAATGGTTCCCGAGCAGTAGAGAGAAGCAGGATTCAACCTGGCTGCTTCTCTGCCACCCAGGAGCCATTTCTGATGAGGGGGGGACTTGCAAGCTTTTCACTCTGCTGGGAGAGAGGCGCTCTCGCTATCCCAGCTGGAAGGAACAGTGGAGAGGCTAGTGTCGGCTCCGGGCTGCTTCTCTTACCTGCTCTTGCTGGGATAGCGAGAACGCCTCTCTCCCGGCAGAGCGAGAAGCTTGCAAGTCCCCCTCTCATCAGAAACAGCTCCTGGGTGGCAGAGAAGCAGCCCGGTTGAATCCTGTTTCTCTCTGCTGCCCGAGAACCATTTGCAATGGGAGAGGGCCTTGCAAGCTTCTCGCTCTGCCGGGAGAGAGGTGCTCTCGCTATCCCAGCTGGAGCAGCAGGTGATAGAACCAGCCACTTACCTGGCCGGAGCCAACAGGAGCCTCTCCACGTGTTCCCTGGTGGAAGGCAAGTGGTGGTGGGGTGGAAAAGGCAACCGGCAGCCGCGGAAAAAGGCAAGTGGTGGGGGGAAGGGGCAAAACAAAAGGCAAGTGGTGGTGGTGAGGGAAAGGCGACTGGGATTTGCACTCACCCAGGGAGATCACCAGATCAGGCAGGACCGCAGCAAAAGGCAGGCAGCAATGGCTGGCCTGGCGGGCGGGCAAAAGGCTGCTGGCATGTAGCGCATGTGCATGATGTTGTGCATGTGCGATAGGGACTGCCTGGGCAGGGAACGGAGAAGAGGGCAGAGAGGGGTGGGGCTAGCCAGAGGCCCGATTTACCGGTTCTCTGAACTACAGAGAATCATAACAACTGGTTCTACCGAACTGGTAGAATCCCACCCCTGAGCCCCAGGCAGAATTGCGCCCTGCAAGGGACCCACCTCTAGCACTCCTCTGCCACCCCCCTTGTCTCTTAGTGCCCCCCTGCCACCCCCTTGCCTCTTATTGGCCCCTCAAGTCATCCCACCACCGCCAAGAGGTGGTACTGCCCACTTTGGGAACCACTGAACTAGAGCATACAAAACATTTGCTGGACCAATTCTTGAATTCAGTTCATCTGTTTGGAATCTGCACTGCATATCGGACATTAATACAATTGAGAGAGTCCAGAAATATTTCATGAGAAGAGTCCTCCACTCCTCTACTCGTAACAGAAAACCCTATGCCACCAGAGTTGAAATTTTAGGCTTAGATAAGTTAGAACTACGCCGCCTTCGGTCTGACCTAAGCATAGTCCATAAAATTATCTATTAAAATGTCCTACCTGTCAATGACTACCTCAGCTTCAACCTCAACAATACATGAGCACACAATACATACAAACTCAGGGTAAACCGCACAAAACTCAATTGCAGGAAATACGACTTCAGCAACAGAATGGTCAATGCCTGGAATACACTACCTGACTCTGTGGTTTCTTCCACTAACCCTAAACACTTTAACCTCAGACTGTCTACTGTTGACCTCACCCCTTTCCTAAGCGGTCGTTAAGGGGTGTGCATAAGTGCACCAATGTGCCTATCGTCCCTGTCTTAATGTTCCCTTTTATTAGTATCTATTTCATGTATTAATAATCATGTTTATACTTATATATATTATTAAATTCATGCTTGTCACAATAAATAAATAAATAAATAAATAAATAAATAAATAAACAAACAAATAAATAAATAAATAAATAAATAAATAAATAAATAAATAAATAAATAAATAAA